TCTCTTTTTTTAATTTCTTGTTTTTTAAATTAACATGTTAAATGGTGTATATTTAGCATGTATGACATAATGTTTTGAAGTGTATATACACTGTGGAATGGATGAATCTAGCTAACTAAAAAATGCATTACCTCACATAATTACCATTTTGTGGTGAGAGCACATCCATTCTCTTAACATTTTTCAGGAATACAACATGTGCTACTTGGCATGCACCAGGCCCTTGTCCAATCCCCAGCACCACCAATAAAAAAAGAAAGAATAAAATCTGTAACTAGTCACCATGCTATACAGTCTCTTAAATTTATTCTTCTTCCTAACTGTAATTATGTATCCTATGACCAACATCTCCCCAATCCCTCCTATCCCCTAACCACCCCAGTCCCATTTTACTTTTTACTTCTATGAAATCAACATTTTTAGACTTCACGTTTAAGTGAAATCATGCACACTTGTCTTTCTGTGCCAGCTTGTATCACTTGACATAATGTCCTCCAGGTTTATCTCTGTTGTTACAGGTCACAGAATTCCCTTCCTTTTATGGATGAATAGTATTCCATTGTGTGTATGTACTGCATTTTCTTAATCTATTCATCTGTTGATAGACATACTCCATACCTTGGGTATTGTGAATAATACTGTAATAAACAGAAGAGTGCAGATATCTCTTCGACATTCTCATTTTACTTCCTTCAGATGTATACCCAATAGTGAGATGTTTATATAGTAGTTCTATTTTTAGTTTTTGAAGACCCTCCATACTGTTTTTATAATGAATGTCCTGAATTACATTCCCACCAACAGTATATAAAGGTTTTCCTTGTCCACAGCCTCACCAGCACTTATTAACTTTTCCTTTTGATAATAGTATTTCTACCAAGAATAAGGTGATATCTCATTGTGATTTCAATTTTTCTTTTCCATATGCTTAATAATGTTGAACCTTTTTTAATAAAGATTTTGGGCATTTGTATGTCTATTTTTATTTTTGGGGGGGAAAATTTCCATTTGGGTCTTTTGCCCATTTTTAATTGGGTTGTTTTCTTGCTATTGAGTTGCTTGAGTTCCTTATATATTTTGGATATTAACTCCTTATCGAATGTATAGTTGGTAAATATTTTTCCAGTTCCATAGATGGTCTCTTCACTCTGGTGATTGTTTCCTTTGCTGTGCAGAAGCTTCTTGTTTTGATGTAATTGTATTTGTCTATTTTTGCTTTTATTACCTCATATCCAGAACTATGAGGCAACGTATTTGAAGACATGTCTGAAGAATTATATAGCCCAATGTCATGAAAACTTATCCCCATGCTTTCTTCTACTAATTTCATAGTTTTGGGTCTTACATTTGATTTTTGTATTTGTCATTTCAGCTTGATTTTTGTATTTGGTTTGAGATAAGGTGTACTTTCATCCTACATGTGGATGTTCAGTTTTCCCAACACCATTTATTGAAGAGGTCATTTTCCCCCACTGTTGTTTTTAACACTTTTGTCAAAAGTCATCTATCTATAAATGCATGGATTTATTTATGGGCCCTCTATTCTGTCCCACTGGTCTGTATTTCTATTTATGCAAGTACATGCTATTTTGATTACTACAGCTTTATATAGTATATTTGAAGTCAGATAGCATAATGCCTCCTACTGTGTTTTTTTGCTGTAGATTTCTTTGGCTATTTCAGTATCTTTTGTGATTTCATACAGTTTTGGTTTTTTGTTGTTGTTGTTGTTTACAGACAGTGTCTTTCTGTGTCACCAGGCTGACCTCAACCTTCTGGGTTCAAGTTATTCTCCTGCCTCAGCCTCCCAAGTAGCTGAGGCTATAGGCACACAGAACCATGCTTCTCCATACAATTCCAATATTTGTTTCTAGTTCTTTAAATAATGGCATTGATATTTGAATATGGAATGCATTGAACCTGTAGATCACTTTGGATAGAATGGACATTATAACAATATTAATTTTTCTATTCCATGAATTCAGGATATCCTTTGATTTATTTTGTCCACAATTTCTTTCATTTTTTTATAGTTTTCATTGTAGAGATTTTTATCCTTGGTTAAATTTATTCCTAAGTATTTTTGTAATTATTGTGAATAGGATTTTTTTTTACTTCTTTTTCAGATAATTCACTATTTGTGTATAGAAACACTGCTTATTTTTATATGCTGATTTTGTATTCCACAACATGACTAAACTTGTTCATCTGTTTAATTTTTTGTTTTCTAAATATAAGATGTCATCTATGAATAGGAACAATTTCACTTCTACCCTTCTTGCCTTTTATTTATTTATTTATTTTACCTAATTGTTCTGGCAATGGCAAGCAGCATCCTTGTATTCTTCCAAACCAATTTATTCATGATTCTTTAATGATCGTGTGATGATCATTTTAAACTCAGTGACCTGAGGAGTGTCATCAATTTGCAATGTAAGGATTTTGCTCATTGGTATCCTCAGTCCAATCCACACATTCAAGCGTCAGCTCTACCCTGTGTGAGAGCTTCTTGCAGCCCTGTGGCAGGTGGCTTCTTTGTTAGTTTTCTTGAAAAGAGGCCCCAACCCCTCCCCCAATAGGGGATAGTTTTAAGATTTACTGAGCCCAACAACATAAAAATAAATAAAAAGCAGTGATGAGGGCAGGTATATGAGAAGGACCAGATGAAAAGTATAAATAGCATTAAGATCAATTTCCCACATTTCCCATATAGAGAGCACATTTGCCAGAGCTCAAGATGTGTATTATCACTCAGCAACTGGCAAATGCCTAAGAGTGTAGTGGAAGAGGCTTACTTCTGGGGGAGTTAATTCTGCCTTGATTCTGCTGTTGATGTCTATAGTGGAGCTGTTGCAGTGAAAGAAATTGGCTGTGCAGCATTCTTATCTCCTTCTTTAGTGACCTATATATACACACTTGCTTGAGGTATTACATATACCCTTTTAAGGTTTCTGGGAGAAATACACATAAAACAGATACAGTAGGTACTACATTTGCTGAATCTATTACCATATCAGTTTAATAGGACTCAAAAACGTAGGTCAGATGAGCTGCACTTTACTACTGGTACTATGGGACAAGACAAAGAAGGACTCTCACCTGCCTTTGATTGGTTGATTGGTTTGGTTAATTGGTATACATGATGCTTTGCTCCAAAACTAACTTAGGACAACACCCACCCATCAGACTGTGTTGTCACCTTCTATAGTTATGTTAGGTGCACAGTTAGACTTATGGCATATTCAGTAACATACAAGCTTTTACTAAACACGTATCATGTTAGAGACTCTGGTTAGGTTAGATGCAGTGTTAGAGAAATGAAGGAGCTTACCATCATATGATAAAAACAGATATAAGTACCAGTAAAGGGAAACAGCACTGATTACCCATGTAGAACTATAGTGTGGGTCTAGCAGACATAGATTTTTGTTTGCTTGTTTTTAACCAAATATCTTGGGACTTGTTATCTGACAGAGAATTCTTTTAAGTTTGGAATTTTAAGTACTTCCAAAATATTAAGATTTAAAATCCCATTCAGTTATGGATCTAAAAAATTTCCCTTACTGGAAGGAATGCAGTGATATAGGATTGATGCTCCCTGGAGAATCCTGCACACATCCTCACTCCGACCACAGGAGGTGGGAAGACAGTGCCATTCATTCTCTCTAAAAGAACTGAAGAGGGCTCCCAGAGGAGGCAATGTCCAAGTTGAATTTTGAAAAATGGATACAGGTCCTTGCAACAGTTTGTTTCTGTATGCTACAGTGAGTTTAATTTATACAGAAGTCAGATCCAAAGCTTACCATTCTGCCTTTCTCTGCATTCATTCCCCCAGCTGAAATTTTTGATCACTGCTACTAAACCTTCCAGCAAGAGCCCAAGATTGCTGTTTTCATTTTATTTGTACACATGATTTGTAGACCTGCCTCTCCTTCTTAGGGGATCAGCAGTGCTTGCAGGAACCTAGAGGATGTGTAGTGTCACAGACAGGGTAAGATCACCTACCCTAAATACCAGAAACTTTAATTCATTCCGTCTGAAAGAACAGTGAACGTTAGGCAACATATTTTTAATTGTATAAGTCATTGTGTGTGCAGATGTGAGTGTACCAGCTGTACATAAGTACCACATTTTCAATCTGTGTAAAATATAATGGATAAGCAGCAAATGACAGTAGGCTTAGCCCCTGATGATTTACAAGGCAAGAAGGCAGCTGCCTGGTGAAGCTGCTGCTAATAATTAGGGAAGGCATAGCCTGTGTCCTGTGCCACTCAGCAGCTCCAACCATTGAAATGACAGCCAGTTTGCTTAGCTCTCTAACCCCCATTCTTTGTGGGCCAGGAGTTAATTTCTTGTTGAGAACATTGCTTTTGATTGTCATCATCTCCGCTATCATTATAACATCAGGTGTGACATGATGATTGAAAATCCCAAGTAGAAACCATGATGGATGAGCAAGATAGGAGTTGTTTTTAATGTTTCTTTTAACATTGTTAGTGAGGGAAAAACTATTTTTGAAACCCCATGGACTGAGTTTTTAACAGGGCCCTGTTGCCAGTTCTGTGGTTGACAAGAAAATGATAATGCTTTCTTTGGCTCGAGTGAGCTGCAAGAAGTGTCACAGCACTCCCTCCTTGTGGAGAACAGCTCTCAACAGGACTGATTGGGAGGGAAATTAATAGGCTTCCCATTGTTCCATGCATTTTTGCCAGGATATTTCATTAGTGTAAACACTGAACCCGTTGTCATCTTGTTCAGCCACTTGACCCTGGTGATTTTCAATTCTGCTTGTGCCCTGATGAAGTATAGCAGTGGCATGCACGAGACAGGCACTAATTATTGGAAGCAGAATCATTGCTGACCCAGTACGAGATTAACTGCTCCTTTGCAGTCTTTATTGTGGGATATTAGCAGTGTCTGGTTATCTTGCTTCAGTTGAGGGATTCAGGACAATAGCAGTGCTGATGGTAATGTTGGCAATTTCCCTGTTTGTTTTGCAGGTCACTGCCAGGGGCTTTGGGCCGCTGTTACAGTTTGCCTACACTGCCAAGCTGTTACTCAGCAGAGAAAACATCCGCGAGGTCATCCGCTGTGCTGAGTTCCTGCGCATGCACAACCTGGAGGACTCCTGCTTCAGCTTCCTGCAGACCCAGCTCCTGAACAGCGAGGATGGCCTGTTTGTGTGCCGAAAGGACACCGCGTGCCAGCGCCCACATGAGGACCATGAGAACTCCGCGGGAGAGGAGGAGGAAGAAGAGGAGGAGACGATGGATTCAGAGACAGCCAAGATGGCTTGCCCCAGGGACCAGATGCTTCCAGGCCCCATCAACTTTGAGGCCACTGCCCTCCCAGTAGCGGAGAAAGAAGAGGCCTTGCTACCTGAGTCCGACATGCCCACGGACACCAAGGGGAGCTCAGAAAAGGATGCACTGACCCAGTACCCTAGATACAAGAAATACCAGCTTGCATGTACCAAGAATGTCTATAATGCATCATCACACAGTACCTCAGGTTTCGCAAGCACATTCAGTGAAGAAAACCCTGGCAACAGCCTCAAGCCAGGGCTTGCCATGGGGCCGATCAAAAGTGAGCCACCCAGCGAAGAGAACGAGGAAGAGAGCATCACGCTCTGCCTGTCGGGAGATGAGTCTGACATCAAGGACAGAGTGGGGGATGTCGAGATGGACCGCAAACAGCCCAGCCCTGCCCCCGCCCCCGCCCCCACCACCCCCACCGGAGCCACCTGCCTGGAGAGATCCAGGAGCGTGTCCTCGCCTTCCTGTTTAAGGTCTCTATTCAGTATAACAAAAGGTGTGGAGTTGTCTGGACTACCCAGTACATCTCAGCAGCACTTTGCCAGGGGTTCAGCGTGCCCTTTTGACAAGGGGATCACTCAGGGTGACCTTAAAACTGACTACACCCCTTTCACAGGGAATTATGGACAGCCCCAAGTGGGCCAGAAGGATGTGTCCAACTTCACGCTGGGGTCGCCCCTCAGGGGGCCTGGGTTGGAGGCTCTCTGTAAACAGGAGGGAGAGCTGGACCGGAGGAGTGTGATCTTCTCCTCGAGCGCTTGTGACCAAGTGAGCACTTCGGTGCATTCGTATTCTGGGGTGAGCAATTTAGACAAAGACCTCTCCGAGCCGGTGCCAAAGGGTCTGTGGGTGGGAGCTGGCCAGTCCCTCCCCAGCTCACAGGCCTACTCCCACAGCGGGCTGATGGCTGACCACTTGCCAGGAAGGATGCGGCCCAACACCAGCTGCCCGGTGCCAATCAAAGTCTGCCCTCGCTCACCCCCGCTGGAGACCAGGACCAGGACTTCCAGCTCCTGCTCCTCCTATTCCTACGCAGAGGATGGGAGTGGGGGCTCACCCTGCAGCCTCCCTCTCTGCGAGTTCTCCTCCTCACCCTGTTCCCAGGGAGCCAGATTCCTTGCCACGGAACATCAGGAGCAGGGCCTGATGGGAGATGGAATGTACAACCAAGTCCGACCCCAAATTAAATGTGAGCAGTCTTACGGAACCAACTCCAGCGATGAATCTGGATCGTTCTCAGAAGCAGACAGTGAGTCGTGTCCCGTGCAGGACAGGGGCCAGGAGGTAGGGAACCCACATAAGTTCAAGCATGTGACCTACTTTCTCCGTTCTTTGGACTTTTCCCTGCCCTCACCACCACTCCCTGATTGTTCTTATTTGCCAAGGCTAAAGGTGATAGTAAAGGGACTTCCCCCAATCCATGGAGGCAGGATACAGTAAGGTGATTCCAAATTAACCACTTTTGCTTTAAAAGGAACTAAGTATTTGCTCTATATTTCAGTACTCAATGAGCAGAAGTAGCTGCTTATGAAAAGAGTAAGTCTAATGCATGAAAATGCATTCAGGTACTTTGGATCCTCCCCACCCCTCCTCCTCCCTTTCTCCTCTCTCCTCCAACTACTTTGAAAGGATACTGTATGTATCACCCTCATTCTTGCTCTTCACTCCCTTCAGTATGAAGGGAAATGTAGATTCTCTTTCAGAATTGATTGATTGAAACTAGATAGATCAACACAAAACAAGTGCTCTCCCAGTACCTTGTATGTTTTCCTTGTCAACAGAAGACCCCCAGGGTCATCCTGTGTCCATCACAATGTAGGTGATGGAATGCTGGTCATCCATTCTTGTCCCAGGATCACTGCACAAGTGTCTTAGTCAGCACAAGTAGATATATAATGGCTCATTTCCGGAGTTCTCACAAAATGAGAAGTCATTTTATGGAGTAGTGGTTGTATATACCCTGAAAGCAAAGTGCTTTGTAGATAAAAATATCCAAAGCCTCAGTCCATGTCTCACTACTTGTGGTAGAAGAAACAGGGGCAACACCAGCCATATCATGAGCTAGACTCATGTGACTAAAGAGAGAGAAGAATAGGAGCCTCCATTGGTCCCCACAGTGTTCCCTAGATAAATCAGGAGTCTGTGTCATAACCTGGCACTCTCTGCACTGTCTTGCTGCTGACACGGAACCAGCCTGAGACACACCTGTGCCTCAGATCTGCTTCAGGAGCAGGAGTGAGCAAACCTAGCCAGTGACAAGTCCTACACTCCTGTGTCCAGAAAGCACAGAAGAAAGGAAGTGTGGTCCTCGTGAGGCCAGCATACTGGACTCATCTGCACTTCCTGGGTGTTAGCTTCTGTGGGGCAGCAGATGTTAACCTAACCAGACAGCAGAAATGCCACACGGGGTGAGGTGACTTTTTACAGAGCCACGTGCAGTTTATTCAGCCTCCGCAAGATTGGCAGGCAAGAAGCACTTGAGGTTTTAGTTCAGGCATGTTTTGAAAATAGATTCCAGAGCTCCCTGTGCCAACTGTAGAAATGCCCTGTGGTCACTTCCTCTGCTTTGCTAACTAGCCTGTTCCCTGCTCTACTGTTACTACCTGGCACAAATGGAGAAAGACAGAAAAACAGAGGATTGAATTTAACTAAGAAAATTATAAAGGAAATATGAATAGGAACTATTTCCATTCAGATGTACCTTATCCCCTTGGGTTTGGGATGCACCCAGTATCCCAGTCAGATGCACAGATATGTCCTGGCCTCCGGAGGAGTGAGGTTTTGTGAAAACAGGGAAATGTTTGCATTCTCTGTCCTCATTCATTCTTTCCTTCTGACCACAACTTCTGTGGGGTTTGCTTTTTGTCCCCGGAACTGTCAGGCAGTGTACCTGATGCAAAAAGCTCATCTCTGGGCTAAGTTCATCCACGTGACGACTTATCTTGCCCTGTACTCTGTGAAAAGAAGACTAATGCCTGTCCTTTTAGAGAAACCCCACCATTCAGCTCTCAAGAGGTTGTGTTTTTATGATGTGTGCATATGTTTCAGGAACTGTCAGTTTCGGATACAGTTCCTTGTGCCCCTGTAATAGTCCAAAAGAGAGCTTATGTCACTTTTTGGAACTCAGCGCCATCAGCAAGAAAGCATGTGTCTTTTCCACGTTCAGGCCACGTCAACATCCACCTTAGAGCTGAAAATACTTACTCAGTTAGAAGGAAGAATTTTTCTTTCAACCTATAGAAAGTCAAGAATAGGACTACCCTCCCCTAAATAAATACCCCTGCTTGTAATTTTTGTTTTTACTTAAATCTGTTGTTTGCTGTGTTAGTCAGTTTTTTGTCACTATGACCAAAATACCTGACAAGAACGACAAGTTCATTTGACGCTTATGATTTCAGAGGTCAGTCTATGATTGGCCAATTATTCTGGGCCCACGGTGAGGCAGAACTTCATGGTGGAAGGGCATGGCAGAGGAAAGCTCATGTTAGGTATGAAGTGGAGGAATAAGCAGATGGAGCCAGGGACAAGATATATAATCCCCAAGGGTATGCCCCCAGTGACCAACTTCCGCCAACCAAACCCTACCTGTTTGCATTTACCACCCATTACAGTATTCCTTTTAAATAATTTCTACAGCAAATGGATCAATCCACTGATTAGGTTACAGTCTCTCATAATCTGATCATTTCAGTTCTGAACATACCTGCATTATTTAACATGACCTTGTGGTGGGTTGGGGGGGCAGGAGGAGACACATTATATCCAAACCATAACATTTTGCATTCCCTAAGTTACAAGAAAAGAGACATTTGCCAAAGCTCTCTGCCATCTCAGGAGTCACACTCAGCCATTCTTGGTAATTTACTTTGTTCAGAGGAGAAATAGTCAAGCTAAACTTTTTCCCAGTTTGACATTTCAGTGTTCCTAGAGTAGAGGAGGTCAGGTTTTCTAAGAACTGACTGTGTCTCAGGGACTTGGCATGACTGCTCCTCTGGGAAGTAATAACATTTTTATAAGGAGTTATTTTGACCTGGTGGAAGTGTTGTTCTCAGGAATATGCTAAAGGCAGTTCCTTCCCCACATGAGTTATAACTTGTTTTTTTTGTTTTGTTTTGTTTTGTGTTTTTAACTGATACAGAAGCCAGCATCTGTTAGACTTATTCTGCTCTGACTTGCTGTCATATGGGATCCAGGTGCTTTCTCTTCAGGTAAACCCCAAGGAGACACCAGAGTCAGAAACCAATTTGGGGTTCCTACATGCAACCCACCACCAGTCTAATACTAAAGGTGTTCCTGCCCAGTCTCTTTTTCTCCACTTTTGTAAGGAGCCAAATGTTAGCTCAAAAGAAAAGGGTCGATATAGCTTTTCTTCCATAAGATGTTCTAATTACACCATGTTAAGTAGCTCTCCCATCTCATAAATTTTTAATGTTTTAATTTTAATAAAAATTTTTAATTTTTAAATTTATCATCTTTTTTAACTCTTTCCTAGCTTTGAAAAAGACTTAAATTAGCACAATAAAGTTCTTTATCAATTAAATAATTTAAATAATTTTTGGGGGGTGCTGTTGATGAAACTCAGAGACTCACACAAGCTAAACATGTGCTCTACCTTAAGCTACACCCACAACTTTCTTTTTTTAAGTGCTAAAATACGGAATACCCAGCCCCAAATATACCAAATTTAACAGGATTCCTCTGTGCCTCTAATGATATTTATTCACATATTTTAATAGCATTATGCTGTATAATTCTCAGCAACTTCCTTTTCCACATAGCTATCTACTGTGTACATGCCTCTAGTCGATCACATACTGCCAACATGTGCTTCTCTAATATCCATAGCTCCCATAAGTCATAATTTATTCAGCTATCACCTAGCAACAGATATTTCAATTGCTTCCACTTTCTTCCCCCTTATAAAGATTGCTCCAATAAACATTTTTGTGAACATATTGTTAGTAGTGGTTCTTTTATTTATATGGGTTGTAGTCTCCTAAGTGAGGTAAAGGTTTTACCCTTTTATTTAGACCATCTAATTACCTTGCCAACAAGTTAACAGGTTATAGCGATTCAAATACCTTTCAGCAGGTAAGGAGTCTCTATTTCCTCCATTCTTCCCAGTGCTAGTTATCACCAGTCTTTTTAACTTTTGCTTTTTTGATGGGTATAAAATGGTGACTGCCAGTGAGGTTAACCTCTTGTTTGGTGTATTTCACCATTTGTATTTCCTTACCTATGAATTGCCATTTTACATCTTTGCCCATTATTCTTTTGTGGTGTTTAGCTTTAAACAATTTATAAGACCTTAATCCTGAATATTAGGATTATTATTCCTTTCTCATGGATGTTACCTTTGTTTTCTCCTAGTCTATTTATTATTTATAGTATTTTTTCCATATAGAAAATCTTAAATTTTATCTAGTCAAGGTATCAGGTTTTTTTCTTTTCTTTATGACTTTTCTGGTTTTGCTATATTCCTTAAGAAGTCAGTTTGTGGGGCTGGGGATATGGCTCAAGAGGTAGCGCACTCGCCTGGCATGCGTGCGGCCCGGGTTCGATCCTCAGCACCACATACAAACAAAGATGTTGTGTCTGCCGAGAACTAAAACAAAAAAAGAAAGAAATATTTTTAAAAATTCTCTCTCTCTCTCTCTCTCTCCCTCCCTCTCTCTCCCTCCCTCTCTCTCCCTCTCTCTCCCTCTCTCAAAAAAAAAAAAAAAAAAAAAAAAAAACAAAAAATATAAAAAAAAAAAAAAAAAAAGAAGTCAGTTTGTAAATTTTTCTCTTCCAAGGATGAAACAAGTGAACAAGTCATATCATGTAAAAAGTCACAAACCAGTATGCATAACAAGGTCCTAGTTCCTTTCATAAAATACATATAAGAATACAGAATAATGGGCTGGGGTTTGGCTCAGTAGCAGAGCACTTGCCTCGCATGTGTGAGGCACTGGGTTCGATTCTCAGCACTGCATATAAAAATAAATAAATAAGGGTCCATCAATAACTAATAAAACATTTAAAAAAAAAAAAAGAATACAGAATAAGATATAGAACCAGTACACAGAATAAGATAAGTTGGAAGCAAGGTTTGGGAAAGGGAGTACAGGGAAATTTTCATTTTTGTGTAGGTCTTTAATGTTTGCATTGTATGTATGTATGTATATCTGAACACACACACGTTTATTTTTTCATGGAGTCATAATATCTATACCATAAAATTCACTGTGTTAATCAGCTTTTTATTGCTGTGACAAAATACCTGAGAAAATCAACTTAAAGAA